AAACCCTTTAACATCAACATGATCTCAACTTAATAAACCTTTGATAATGCATACAAATCTACAGTAATACAAGCTATTTAGACAAACTACACTTAAAGAATAACCTTTAACAAAGATACCAATTTCAACTTCACTAAAAACCCTTTAAACCCTTTAAAGCTCTTCATATCAAACAGAAAAGAAAGAGAAATTGCAAAAGAAATAAAAAATGTATTTTCACACACAAATAGAAGAGAATGTATTTGCCCTTATACAAGAAAAAACAACTTAAAAGAAACACACTTCAATATATATATAAACACAAGTCAAACTCTGTAAAACTTGATAAATAGCAAAAAATATATCAGTATATATATGAAAACCTCAATTACTATACAAAAATAAAAGCCTATTTTACTGAAACAAAAAAATAAAACTAAATTCAAATAAATAAATGTATAACATGTATAACCCCTTTTAAATTAACCAAATAATAAATACAAGCTTGCATGAGGTTCTGCTCCCTCACCTCAATGCCAATTGCAGATCTTCCAAAAACAGTGGTTGAACAGTGACTGACTACTACAGTGTCATGGATGATGTCTCAAGACTTTCTTGATCTACATCAGCTTCACAAGTAGTTGGCACACTTTTCTCAGGCAAAGAGTGGAAAGTTTCTTCAATGGAACTGGTTTGGTTCGTGATTGTACAGGGTTAAGGACTCTGTCCACTTTACAATCAGCTCTTGGCAGTGCAACTTCAGCCACATGATCTACTATTAGGTCCACTGTACTGTTAAGCAGAACAGTGGGGTTGCTGGTATGTCTGTCCTCTGATAGGTGTGTCTTGCAAGACTTCTTGGGTGGTGGCGATTATTCCTCTTGTCCATCTCTACATTTTCGACTGTCGACAATATTGTGCCAGGGTTAAGAGTAGCCTGTGGCTCATGAATGCACTGCAGATAGTTACCCTATAAATAGTGGTAGTGTGGACAAGCAATGTCTCAGTTACTGTATGTTGGCCATTGTCTCTCAGCTCCAAAGCCCTCCCCTGGAGTCTAGCTGACCCTTGAGTTATAATCAATTCCGGAAATGTTTTTCTCTGCTCGGGGATGTAGTGGTCCTGCTGGAGATAGGCATACAGTTAGTAATGCTTTCTCAAGGTGGTGCCATACAAATCCCATTTGGATATTTCATGTGAGACTCTTGGTGTTTGGCAGGTCATTAGTATTCCTTTTTTCACAAGAGCTGGGGAAGATTTCAGGAATGTTTTCATTCTTTGGGTTGCTGCAAGCTTGACTCTGCTATTGGTGTTAGGTCTGCTGGCTTCTCCATAGCTGGTACCAATATTCCAGAGTGGACTTGGCTTCTACTGGCTTGTTCATTGCCCACAGGGGCTATTCAGCTCCAGGAGACTTTAGATATAGTCCAACTATCAATACAGTGTGGTCCCACATGTTAGATGCACCTGCAAGTAACACATCTTCATTCATGGGCCCCACTGCATCAAACGCCAAGCTAACACCAGGATCATGGGGTCGGCCTCATAAGTGCCAACTCTTCATCCAATACTCCATCTAAAGTCATCTCTACTTTAGTAGTTGATATTGGAGAGGCAAATCTTGAAACCAGGACCCATTAGTAATACAATATGAACTCAAGGAAACTGCACCTCTGCTGTTTTAGAAGAATCCTTGACGATTGCATCTCTACACACAATATGACTGATAAATTCCATTTGCGTGTGCACATTTTTTATGAGTTTAAACCTTCCTTTTTTATTTACTGCATTACCATTTTGAGTTTCTCAGCCACAGACTCAAACATGCGACTAAACACTAAGATGTCAACACAGACCAGACATTTCTCCCATTTCAGACCCTTCAGTGTAAGTTCCATTAGCCTCTGAAAAGTGGCTTGTGCATTATACAGGCCAAATAGCATGACATGAAACTTATACAAGTTATCACTCATGCTGAAAGCAGTCTTAGTCCTGTTCTGAATAACCGAGTCATGAGAACCAATGAAATAAAAAAAGACTGGACATAAAGTAAAATATGAAAGAAACAGTCTTTATTAATATCACACTTAACATAAACACTGATTAAATACATGCTTTTACAGAACTTTAAACTATCGCTTTTACTAAATTCTCTATCTAAACTCCTTGCCCTTCAAGACCATGTTTTAGACTGACTAAATCCAACATTTTTTATTTTGTAAGAAATCTCCTATTTATTCAGAGGGACTAGCGCTACCTATATGACTAGCTATTCTAAATAAAACACATATACTACTGTTGACACCTTTGCACAAGATGTGGTATTGCCATGTGATATGCAGGCATGTCACATTTTCTATCTGCTTTTAGTTATATAGGGATTTTTATTTTATTCATCTAATTTCTATGCAGTGTTGATAATCATGTGGTCTAGAAAAACCATTTAAGTTGCTTCGTTCTCGCTGCTTTTTTTTTCGTTCTTTCTAGTAGAGTTCTTTATATGCTCGAGGGGATGTTGAAGTAACGTGCATTCATGTTGAAAGGGTTACTCAGTGAAATATCGTTTGCTGGCTGAATGGATGATGCCAGGAAATGCTGTAATCTCTCAAGAGTCACGAAGTGATACTATAGACAGGACAAAGAAACCAAATTTACCATATTCAGTTCTATTAGGAAGTCTTTGAGTAAAGACATTATTTTGATATCACAGTGCTTTAGTTTTGCAGAGATAAATACCAAGAGAATGAAAGCTGTAGGGCTAAACACCATCTACTGTGTTTCTGACTGTATGCTACGTTTTCTTTTTATTTTATCTCTGTTGGTTTTCTCAGATTTGTTCAGTATATTTAATTTTCACACATGGGAAGAACAGGTATTATCTCCTCGAGAATAACAAAGGAACAAAGGCAGCTAGAACAAACACACGGTGTATTTATATAGCAACAATGTGAGGACTTTAAAATCAAAATAAAAAAAATAATAATCCTGTTTTCAAAATGATATTTTATCATTTTTACCCAGAATTACGATTAATATAGATGTTATTTCGTTTCGCTGTGAAAATTATTCAAGTGATTAATGTATTATAATTAAAATCCACTATTGACCAGAATATAAAAAAAACACCAAATAATTATAATGTCAGGTTTGCAATTTAAGTTAATGAACTAAATTAAATTTATCTCTTAAATACTATAGGCAAGTCTGGTCTATGTTCACACACACATCTATATAAATATAATAGTACTGTCTGTTGTATGTCCATGTAACTATTTCGTAGG